GTGAATTAGTTAATCATGTGTTTATAACCATATGTTCCCATGGAGATCACTGTCTTATCTAAACAAAACACTCCTTTATTGTCTTTCGTTTTCCGCGTTAAAAAATCTCTATCTTTGTGTTGATTCATATTCTGAAGTCACTGATTAATTATTTACGATATTCTTAACTTAAAAGGTTCCTTCGGAGGAGGAAAGTTTTTCCACGAGAAAAAAAGCCCAGAAAATTGCAGGTGTGCATGTTTGATAGTTGTCATTTTTACTTTCCCACATGTTGATATGAAAGACTACAATAATTGCTTTCAACTAAAATCATCTTAACACATTTACAATTTATTCAAAACTTTGAAAAATTTAAATGACAGTTTTGTTCTGAAATAAAAACCTCTGTTGTTACCGGGGGTTAAAGTATTCATAGAACCCAATTTTTTTTGACTAGATAGGAATTCAAACCACCTTCAAATCAATAACTAACATTTTCTTATTTTCATAATGAGTGGCAAAGTTTATGCTGGTTTAGATATTATTGATACAGGTAATTGTATTTTTTCTGTTATGACGGTGGACTAAAGGACATCCAGAGCACCGGTTCTATGGGGGAGGGGAGGTAACTTTATATTTTATTGGCGAAACGTATATTCCAAACGATAATTTCGGATCACATTTAAACGCTTAAGGGTAGTTAATCATAATTTATAGCAAGGCAATATTCATCAAGAAACACTATGGCGATATTATATTCTTCATCAGTAGCTGCCCTAGTAACTGTGAAAAACAAATGTGTGTAATGTAATCAGGATGAGGATCCAGCTAGCAAACTTCTACGTCTACTATGTGAACATGAAGGACTCCTTATTTCATCTGTTACCTTTGATCAAAGTGTGTCCGGGCTAAGAAACGTCTACGGTAACCTAACTTATGACTACAAGGTGAATATGTAAGATATTGTAAGGTTGTGAAATAAAAGACCTAGTAACACAGGGTTTCAAAATATGGAGGTTGATGAAAATTGTTGGAGGTTACCGCCATCATAGACATTTCATTGCGAAATATTCTATTCCTTTGTGCGATATGAAGCTGGATGTGTTTGATGCTCGTTAGTTTGTCTGTTGGTTCTGCTGTTATAAACCTTATTCTTATTTGAGAATGTGACATCACTTTCTTGAATTGACAAAGAATTACATGGCGTGTGTCGTCGATGAAGTAAAGGACGCTTATTCTTCCAGAACACCTAGTCTTATTTCCTGTGTACTTTTTAAGGAGTCTCCGTGTAAATATTATTGTTGTTAATATTTCGCCTTAATTTTATTGAGTTAGAGTTTGGATTATGGTTTTGTTGACATGTTGGTATTTTCTTGTTGTTCCTTATAATAGAGAGAGAGAATTTTTTGTGCACCGGAAGTTCATCATTATTCAAAGATTGCTTCAAACCTTGAATGATTGATTTGTAGAAAGGACCTCATAGGAGTCAAAGAAATGTCCCACACGAACCAAATTCATCCTAAGTGGGTTATAATTAAATCATCATAAGAGACAAAGCAGGAAATGACCCCGTGGTGAAAATTAAAGAAAAAAAAACAAGAACCAGCCAAATTAAACGTGGTTAAAAATCTAAAAGGTCGCAAGGACTGGTAATATGCCATATTCAATGCTGCGGCTAAGGATGTACGACAGTATTCACTATTTCATCCAGAAATATCAAAACAATGGCAAACATCAAATGAATGAGTAGGAACTGCTCCTAATCCTGATCTCAAACATGTATGATAATATTGCAAAATACAAAATAGGTTTACAATTTGAAATATCTAAAATGCTAAAAGAAAAATTGAAAACTTGTAAAATTGTCGATTAAAGGTCGGATTGTAGTTAGGTCAAAGAATGTTTAACGACTACAGGGATATATTCTTGTCAATCACACAAATCTTGGTTTTATATCTTCCTGGCTGTTTACATTACATCAGCTAAATACCACTGTTCCTGATAAAAAGGTCCTTTAACAGGAAGCCACACAGGTGAAGTGAACACTGATAAGGTTTGGGGATTACATGATTGTCTATTTTGGAGATACTGACAAATATATGCACTGTCACTAGTTAATGTATCCATCGACTGGGAGGCGAGTGACCTTGCAGCTGGAAGGCGAGTGACCTTGCAGCAACCTGGACAGTGAGAGCTATGATGAGATACATGAATTTGATTAAACTAATAACTCTGAGCCATTGTTTAGGTCATATCCCGAAAAAAAACCCAGGAAAAGGTAAAACATTTGTAATTAATCACTTACACCAGAGTCAAGACACAGCATGCCAACAGGTCAAATGAATCACTTACATCCCCCTCAGCTTTTTTTTTCATTAATCTCAATTGCCCTTTTTACATAAATTGCATCGTCCTAGGGTTAAAGTCTTCAAACAGAAATTAAAAGTTATAATAACAAAGTTAATTTAATTTAAGTTAATTTTTAAAGATGAAAGAAGAAGAAATGGAATTGAATATTTTACCTTGTTTTAGTTTGTTACATACCGTTGTTGATTTATATGGATATTTCTTAAATCCATAGAGTCGTTTTTACTTGTGAATTCGGTCACCCCTGAGTCTACAGCCTTTCTTGGACTCAAAGTTATTTGTCTATTGCCTACTGTGTGAGACATAAATTTTCAAGACGTGTTTCATAAAAACTCATATCAAATAAAAGCAATTTAATTTTTTTTTAAAATCAGAATTTACATTTTGACAAGTTTAAAAGAAAAGATAATTAAAAGAGGACGCAAGCTAACAAAATAAAACAAAAAACAAAAACCTCCAGGATATATACAACACTACGGATCTTGACTTTTTTTAATCTTGAATCATTACTGATATATACACAAGAAATATTACACCAACAATTCATGTGATAGTTTGCGGATAAATTGGTAAGTATGTTAATGCGAACTTTATAATTCCATTATTTAATGACTTAAAATGTTGCCTAGTACATATATATATATAATAGGTTAGGACTTTAGCATTTATCCTACTTTATTCGCTGAAAACATTCCGTTATCTTTATCATACTACCATCCCTGATACATTGCGAATTGTAAGGTATCGTTTCAACAAGATTTTGTCCATACTTCATAGGGCTTGTCTGAAGATTAACTATGATGAAACCTTGACGAACCTAAGACCCCTGGATAAGAAGGATGAAGACAGAAGTCTCTAAAACAGCATTTATATTTACAGCGTGTATCACACATAGAACAGAGATACGAGAGTCTATGGTAACGTTGGTCAGAATAAAACTATTTGGTGAAAAACGCCAAGTGAAAAGTCAATGTTTGCTTAAGCCAACTTTGGTTTCTCCCTGCTGTTTTATAGTTTGATGACAGTTTGAAGTCTGATAAATAAACAGCACTGTCAACAAGTGAAATGTCAAGGTTACATGGCTTACCGGAAGTTTCAATTAAATTTTCACAAATTTTCAAAAGTTCAATTTCATCATTGGGAATTTCGCATTGTGTCAGCCAACAATTTACCAGACACCGACAATACCTCTTGTTTCCTTAAATGGGAGACGGCGGATATATCCAAAACCTGCTTTAGCCAGTGGTGTGATTTAATGTGCGACTGATTGATTTGCTATACAGTACACTTAATAGTTTCTATCGCTGTATCAGTTGCCTTCATCAATACCTACGTCATAAATACGAGATGAGCCAATGACAGACGAACTTTTTCTACATTACTTAAACTGCTTTAATTGAAGAATACTGGTCTCAACAATGCCAATCTATTATCAGTTTCTTGAAAAATGTTTATTTTTTAAGTAGGTAAACATTTCCATTTATTCGTTACGTCCCAAGCATTTTTCGATATCAACACAGAAAATATTTCCGATCATGCGCGACTGTAAATAAGGGTGACAGATTCACTGTTTCAACAAGTATAGTGTAATTTCATGACGTTAAGTTCGATAACAAAAGTTCGGCGTTTTCTGAACCTCCGATCATTTAGAAGTAAATTATAGTCAACTGAAATGCACTCCCGCCTCTAATTGGTAGTCATTATAGCTTATTTTATCAAATTCGCTGTGTCTGTTCAATGGATAAAATGCTGCTGTTATTTCGGCCAAAATAAACAGAACTCCTTTTTATCAGAAACACTACCTGTTGAGAAGTGCTCTTTTGAAGGTCAGAGAGTTATTTTGTTGTAATGAGGTGAAGGTAAAGAAAGCTGAAATCGAGTGAGGGACCATTTTTGATTTCTGAAAAGACCATATGCAAACTATTTGTATTTCATAATTATACGTATGAGAAGTTCTGGATAAAAAAGACCGGAAAAAAGTATGAGTAACAATGTATGAACAACTAGTTGAAAAATATCCTATTTCTTTGTTTAATATGAAGCTGGACGTGTTTGATGTTTGTTAGTATGCCTGTTTCGTTGTTTGTATATTTTTTTCTCATTTGAGAACGTGGCATTACTTACTTGGATTGACCAAGATTTACACAGCCTGTATCGTCGATGAAGCAAAAGACACGCTTTCGGAACTCATGATCTTTTTGTTCATGTACTTTTTTATCATGTTTTGCTCAATTTTTATTGGAAATGAGTTTGGATTATGGTTTTGTTGAAATGTTGGTATTTTCTTGTTGTTTTTCGTATCAGTTTAGGTAATTTACACGATAAAACTTCTGCTCTCAATATGAATCTGGTTAACGGGACCTACCTCATTGCAATATTAGAGACAAAGCGGGTACATTAAGTACCACAATCTAAGTTCGAGAAATAACAACTTTTTATCCTGTTTGATACACATGTGTACTAATTATTACCTGCACGTGTAGGTGTATCTAGGTTGCCTCATATATTTAAGAATGTATGGATTTTAATATATATATAAATCAATTTTTTCTACAAATCTTTTCGTTATTTTTTCACAACCAAAACGTTGAAAAGCAATAACACGAACAAGCATATGGAGAAAATAACATTTTATCTACAGAAATATAGCTCACCACAGTAAACCGAAGACACAAAAGTTTTTATTCAAGAAGCACAATGGATAAAGATAAGAAGTTCAGAAACCATGGCCGAAAGGTGTAGAGGACTGATGCCGCCTTATCCAAGTAGGTCAGTGCTATCTCGGTTAGTGTTGTCTTCATCATTGTGTACGTGGCTATTATGATGGTGGTGATGGTGGTCGTGGTCATGGTCATGGTCATGGTGGTCGTGGTCATGGTCATGGTCATGGTGGTCATGGTGATCGTGATGATCGTGGTCATGATGATCGTGGTCATGGTGATCGTGGTCATGGTGATCGTGATGATCGTGGTCATGATGATCGTGGTCATGGTGATCGTGGTCATGATGATCGTGGTGATCATGATGATTTTCATGAGCACGCCCTATAACGCAGCACGCTAGCCTGATTCCCTGACTAGCACCACCATCATCAGCATTAGCATGAATCTACGGAGAGATGTATCTATATTAGTGAGTTCCCTCGAGAAGTAATAATACTCTGATTACATGACTGAAATACATCAAAGATATATTTCTATTCTTTGAATCACTTGTATAGAGATATCTATAGCATTAAGTTCATTTTTCGATCAATGACTAATCCAAACGATTATCTATAAATATAGCAACGCAGAAGATAACGTTTACAGGTCCTACAAAATTTGACCCCGGCACCCAGGCCATATCTTACGAGACCTGGAGGAGAATACTACTCACGACAAAGGCACGGCCGATGAGGTCGTGTAGATCAGCGTGGATTATCTGCTCACTGACGTAAAGTCCATGGTCGTCACCAGTAACGTTACCAAGATCTCCTACATGGCTACACGGAAATAAATATTACACCATTACATTTGATTTATCGAACAAACTATACGAAGAGTGAAATCTTTGTATGTACTTATGTGCACACCCGCTCCGCGTAGTGTGTTCAGTACTGTCCGGTGTTACTGACATGCCCAGGTTCGAACTGAGTTGTTGTTGAGCTATTGGCTCAAGGAAATTATGCACACCGACATATAAACAGTTAACGTATATTAACAATTATTTATTAACAATGACAAGAAATGACAGCGACGAGAAAAAAACATTAGAACAGATACCCATCGCAGCGGCAACAACACACGTTTAGACTGTACACTAACACATAAACAATCTTGGAGACAATCCTCAGACCCTCATTCGTCGGCTCACGAATTCAATCGTAATAGCGGCGAACGTACCTGCAAATACCGTGTTACATACCCTGAGAACACAATCGTGTCTCCACGTCCTATCGGAAGTCTGAATCGAATGCACCTGATGGGGAATAATCTCTAAACCAAACTACTTAATTCCGTTTAACACTCGGAAAAAAAAAAAAAACAAAAACAAAAACAAAAACGTAGAAGTGCTGTCTGTCACAAAAAGAGAGACAGAACAGGCGGTAAATAATGACCCGTAACTATAATTTGCAAGGTAATACTTTCCGAATATCGCGAGCTCACGGTTCAACACCGAGAGGTACAGATGTAAACAAATTCAGAATGACAATACCGAAGTGAAAACCAATTCCAATACAGTTATATAGATCAACAATTCAGTCTTCTTATTGTTATTTTTACATATGCAAATCTAAGTGACAATGGATTCCGCTCAATAACACATCAGATATAAGCAGGCAATTCTAATTTGTTATGGGAAGTTTTAAGGACAATCACAAGCAAACATAAAATCATGAGAGAATGAAGGACCCTCTTGTACAAGGAAATTACTTTAAGTTTATTTTTAGAAAACTTGAACTTAAAAACAAACGAAACAGTGTTATATTGTGCTAAGTTAATTGACATTGACCAGAGATGTATATTGGATTGTACAATAGACACACAAGTGTAGAACGCCTTTAAACACACATGTAATACCAATACATCTAACTTCACATAGCATCGACCATGAATTTATCTCAGTTTAATATCTAAATATGATTAGAGATTCCTCACAACATTTTTTTGAAGGTACACTCGGAAAACCATATTGAAATCAAATCAAAGAATAGTTCACAAGTATAGCAACACATCATCATTGGACATTCAGAAATTTTATGTAATTTCAGAGAACTACTCTGTATAAAGGATGGAACAGAAGACAGTTTAACAAGCTTACCAAGTAACTTTTTTAACTCAATGACACTGGGCTTAGTGACTCTACTATCTCGTTATAAGATAGTCTATCAAAATTTAATTCCAAAAAGAGTAACATACAGGTGTTTGTAAAATCTTGACGGGGTACATATGAAACAACAGCTGCTTGCCATAGCATTCCATCATGTTGCCAATATTTTTATAGACGGTTCTCTTAGAAAAACAACAAATAAACAGAAAGATCTGATCAGAAAATTAAAACCAATGTGAAAAACAAATTGGCGTATATAAAAAACCCCATCGAAACCTAGTTACAAAACTGAAGCGGCAAGCAATACAATTGTATGATGGTGTGGAGGCGGACAAAAGAGTCTAAAGATTTCTGGCCGACCATCCGACTATTTTTTTTATTTAAAAAGGGTTGTATATATGAGCAAAATATTCAGCACATTGAAAATGGATATTTCGACAGTAAATGGTTAAGTATATAGAATGTTGAATGATTTCTTTGGGAAAGGACGACCTTCTTTGTAAGCCTAATAAAAGGCCTGTTGGTATACTACTGGCGACATCAAAAGACATTGGAGAGCTATAGCTAAGATGGGAACTTCTGCAGGATCTTCCATCCTATGTTCTCGGCTTTCCAGTGTGTTTGCAGTTACACGTACCGAGGAGTTGAGAAGGTCTTTGGGACAGCAACAAATGTGACTGTGGACGTTCCATTGGCAAAGAAGCTGAATGCTTATGGGTTGGGTGTAGTTAGACTTATCCATAGCTTACCGCACAACAAGAAGCAATGTATACAAATGAATTGTAGTGTTAGCATGGTACAGCATATCTCTTTGGACCAGTTATTTCTTAACTCATTGGATATCTGTAAATACAAGAAGTTAAAGCGAACTATACCTGTTAGGGTCATCAGGAAGTCCATGCTGTTTATCATTCGGATTGTAGTGGTTTCCCAAGGAGTTACAACATTCTGTCATGTCCCCGCTCTCATGAATATGTATAGCGTGACTTTGGCCGGGATTTAAATGTCTCAGGTCGTACTGGATTTTCACATCATCGCTGTGAGGCTGCAGTTAAAGTGGGAATAAACCTGCTTATCAATGAACATCATGAAAATACCAACAGGTCAACACAATCGTAACACAAAATCAAATTCAATTAAGGTAGGGAAATATGAACAAAATACTTATTTACATGAAGACTCATGAAAAAGTATCAGGAGAATAAGACCAGGTGTTCCGGAGGAGTAAGTGGCTTTTACTATAGTTCATTATTTGCATTGTTGAGCAGTGTTACTTAACCGTAAGATGTAACGGTCGTTATGTTGATGGGGAAATGGGCTGGTGTGTTACCTGAGTGTCACTGCTGTAGTTTGTGCTCATTATAACATCTTATTGGTGTTTGATTTGTAGCAATAAATGACTGTGACTTATGTTATGCTTGTTGGTTTTCTTAAATACCGTGATGAGTGGTGAAACCAGTCTAAAAAAAAACCAATACGATAATGTTCATTATTATCACCTACAGAGATAACATTATGATACAGTTGTATCAACTGATAGACTGTGGAGCGACCTGGAAGGAATCCGGATTGATACTTGTAAAACATACCATTGTCTCTAGCAAAGAAAAAAATATGCTTAAACACACGACTGACAACTCAATGAAGAAATTGGTCTATACGTAGAAGTGATATGAGCACCTCCCTTTTTAAAGTATGGTATAATATGGGTTTTTCCTCTTAGAGAAGAAAACAGAATCTCTAATAGATCGGTTAACAGCATAGTAAGAGAGAGGTTGCTCTGGCTGTTATCATAAAACAGGATATTGTCTAAGTATTTACTCAATTCAAAGTGACAACTATCAGTTTCTAAGTAAACCGAGAGCTGAGGTTGACCATGAACCCTCACGGCAAAGTTGATGAAATAGTCAAACGACTTGTTTTATCTTATAGCAATATTTTAGGCGGATTTATTTTCCATTTCAAAGGTACATGTCTATGGAATATGAGGTACCGGCCACTGCCTCTTTGATTCAACTTACTTGTAAAATCAGAAAACCATTCTGACCTTCTGAGACAGTATAACATGTCCTGAAAACCACCCTTACCTTGTGAGACAGTATAACATGTCCTGAAAACCACCCTTACCTTCTGAGACAGTATACATGTCCTGAAAACCACCCTTATCTTCTGAGACAGTATAACATGTCCTGAAAATCATTCTTACCTTCTGAGATAGTATAACATATTCTGAAAATCACCCTTACCTTCTGAGACAGTATAACATGTCCTGAAAACCACCCTTACCTTCTGAGACAGTATAACATGGCCTCTGATCCTATACGTGAGATCTGGGACCTGCATGTTGGGCATCATCTCACACTGTGCGTTGATTTCTGTTACAAAAAATGCTACTTTACGAATGCCTTTGTTATTATGTTGTTACTTTGAAATCAAGTGCTCTAAAACATAACAAGTATAGAATTTCTTTTTATACACGTCCACTTGATATGCAATATATTTGAAAAAAATCACATAGAAAATGATGCAAGATAACTTCACTTACCATGTTTCTCATGTGAAGAACGCATGTTGTTATCGTGACATTCGCCTTCAAGCTTCATGTTTACGTAAACGTCATGGACATGCGGATAATGGTTGTGTTCATCATGATGGTGTCTATGGCCGTGATCATGATTATGGTCATGGTCAGAGGAAATCGATGAATCAATAGCATCACTGCTATTGGTGGAACTGGTGTCAACGGCGGTGTTGGTGGAACCGGTATGGTGCCCGAAGTCATGGTCATGGTGCTCACTACTTATATGTACATGGACACCATTGCCTTCTTTCTGCAGCTCTTGGACCTGCGCAGTTAACTTATCCACTTTCGTTTTTAATTGTTTAACTTCCTCGGCCAAACTGGCATCTTGAAAATAACAATTTTGTCAATACTACAGACAGTGTGAGATCTAATGCATTATTAATAGCTTGACATTCAATGCATGAAAAACAGTTTAAAATTTAATAAATCAGCAACAACTTGCTATTTAATGCAACAACAGTAGAATAAAACTATACACTACAACTGATCGCCATTAAATACACCAACAGAAAGGCGTTTAACAAATCAACAACATAAATGTATTTAACACACCAACAACAGATACGTATTTAACACATCAACAACAGATAGATATTTAACACATCAACAACAGATAGATATTTAACACACAAACAACAGATAGATATTTAACACACAAACAACAGATAGATATTTAACACATCAACAACAGATAGATATTTAACACACAAACAACAGATAGATATGTAACACATCAACAACAGATATTCAACACATCAACAACAGATAGATATTTAACACATCAACAACAGATAGATATTTAACACATCAACAACAGATAGATATGTAACACATCAACAATAGATAGATATTTAACACACCAACAACCGATAGATATTTAACACATCAACAACAGATATCTAACACATCAACAACAGATATTCAACACATCAACAACAGATATGTATTGTACACATCAACAACAGATAGATATTTAACACACCAACAACAGATAGGTATTTAACACATCAACAACAGATAGATATGTAACACACCAACAACAGATAGATATTTAACACACAAACAACAGATAGATATTTAACACATCAACAACAGATAGGTATTTAACACATCAACAACATATAGATATTTAACACACCAACAATAGATAGATATTTAACACATCAACAACATATATCTAACACATCAACAACAGATAGATATGTAACACATCAACAACAGATAGATATTAAACACATCAACAACAGATATCTAACACATCAACAACAGATAGATATGTAACAAATCAACAACAGATAGATATTAAACACATCAACAACAGATAGATATTTAACACACCAACAATAGATAGATATGTAACACATCAACAACAGATATTTAAAACAACAACTGATAGGTATTTAACACACCAACAACAGATAGATATTTAACACACCAACAATAGATAGATATGTAACACATCAACAACAGATAGATATTAACACAACAACAACAGATAGGTATTTAACACATCAACAACAGGTATTTAACACATCAACAACAGATAGATATGTAACACATCAACAACAGATATTTAACACATCAACAACAGATATTTAACACATCAATAACAGATAGATATTTAACACATCAACAACAGATAGATATGTAACACATCAACAACAGATATTTAACACATCAATAACAGATAGATATTTAACACATCAACAACAGATAGCTAACACATCAACAACAGATATTTAACACATCAACAACAGATAGATATGTAACACATCAACAACAGATATTTAACACATCAACAACAGATATTTAACACATCAATAACAGATAGATATGTAACACATCAACAACAGATAAGTATTTTACACATCATTAACAGATAGATATTTAACACATCAACAACAGATAGATATGTAACACATCAACAACAGATAGGTATTTTACACATCAACAACAGATAGATATTTAACACATCAACAACAGATAGATATGTAACACATCATTAACAGATAGATATTTAACACATCAACAACAGATAGATATGTAACACATCAACAACAGATAGATATTTAACACATCAACAACAGATATATATGTAACACATCATTAACAGATAGATATTTAACACATCAACAACAGATAGATATGTAACACATCAACAACAGATAGGTATTTTACACATCAACAACAGATAGATATTTAACACATCAACAACTGAAAACCGCCATATGTTGCTAAACCTCCATTTGTGAGACTTAATGTAATAAAACATCAAAATTTGTGTGATCAAACAAAACCAACTGCTTAGCTAAACCCGCCATCTCTGAGTCTTAGCGCCGTCATCCGTTAAACACCACAATTTGTTACATTATATACCACCATCTGCTAGACTAAACAATACCATGTCTTAGACTAAACAATACCATCTGTTAGACTAAACACTACCATCTGTTAGACTTAACACTACCATCTGTTAGAATAAACACTACCATCTGTTAGACTAAACACTACCATCTGTTAGAATAAACACTAACATCTGCTAGACTAAACACTACCATCTATTAGACTAAACACTACCATCTGTTAGACTAAACACTACCATCTGTTAGAATAAACACTACCATCTGTTAGAATAAACACTAACATCTGCTAGACTAAACACTACCATCTGTTAGACTAAACAATACCATCTGCTAGACTAAACACTACCATCTGTTAGAGTAAACACTAACATCTGCTAGACTAAACACTACCATCTGTTAGACTAAACACAAACAATATCATCTGTTACACTAAACACTACCATCTGTTAGACTAAACACTACCATCTGTTAGAATAAACACTAGCATCTGCTAGACTAAACACTACCATCTGTTAGAATAAACACTACCATCTGTTAGACTAAACACTACCATCTGCTAGACTAAACACTACCATCTGTTAGAATAAACACTGCCATCTGCTAGACTAAACACTACCATCTGCTAGACTAAACACTACCATCTGTTAGAATAAACACTACCATCTGTTAGAATAAACACTACCATCTGTTAGACTAAACACTACCATCTGTTAGAATAAACACTAACATCTGCTAGACTAAACACTACCATCTGTTAGAATAAACACTACCATCTGTTAGAATAAACACTACCATCTGTTAGACTAAACACTACCATCTGTTAGACTAAACACTACCATCTGTTAGACTAAACACTAACATCTGCTAGACTAAACACTACCATCTGTTAGACTAAACACTACCATCTGTTAGACTAAACACTACCATCTGTTAGACTAAACACTACCATCTGTTAGAATAAACACTACCATCTGTTAGACTAAACACTACCATCTGTTAGAATAAATACTAACATCTGCTAGACTAAACACTACCATCTGTTAGACTAAACAATACCATCTGCTAGACTAAACACTACCATCTGTTAGAATAAACACTAACATCTGCTAGACTAAACACTACCATCTGTTAGACTAAACACTAACATCTGCTAGACTAAACAATACCATGTCTTAGACTAAACAATACCATGTCTTAGACTAAACAATATCATCTGTTAGACTAAAGACTACCATCTGTTAGACTAAACACTACCATCTGTTAGAATAAACACTAGCATCTGCTAGACTAAACACTACCATCTGTTATACTAAACACTACCATCTGTTAGACTAAACACTACCATCTGCTAGACTAAACACTACCATCTGTTAGAATAAACACTACCATCTGCTAGACTAAACACTACCATCTGTTATACTAAACACTACCATCTGTTAGAATAAACACTACCATCTGTTAGAATAAAAACTACCATCTGTTAGAATAAACACCAACATTTGTGAGACTAAACACTTACGTCTATTAGAATGAACATCAACATCTGTTAGACTAAACACTACCATCTGTTATACTAAACACTACCATCTGTTAGAATAAACACTACCATCTGTTAGAATAAACACTACCATCTGTTAGAATAAACACCATCATTTGTGAGACTAAACACTTACGTCTATTCAGAATGAACACCAACAGTTGTTAGATTAAACACTACCATCTGTTAGACTAATTAATACCATGTCTTAGACTAAACACTACCATCTGTTAGAATAAACACCACCGTCTGTTAGATCAAACACCAACATCTGTTAGATCAAACACTACCGTCTGTTAGATCAAACACCAACATTTGTTAGATCAAACACCACCGTCTGTTAGATCAAACACCAACATCTGTTAGATCAAACACTACCGTCTGTTAGATCAAACACCACCATTTGTTAGATCAAACACCACAGTCTGTTAGATCAAACACCACCGTCTGTTAGATCAAACACCAACATCTGTTAGATCAAACACCACCATTTGTGAGACTAAACACCACCATTTGTTAGATCAAACACCAACATCTGTTAGATCAAACACTACCGTCTGTTAGATCAAACACCACCATTTGTTAGATCAAACACCACCGTCTGTTAGATCAAACACCAACATCTGTTAGATCAAACACCACCGTCTGTTAGATCAAACACCAACATCTGTTAGATCAAACACCACCATTTGTGAGACTAAACACCACAGTCTGTTAGATCAAACACCAACATCTGTTAGATCAAACACCACCGTCTGTTAGATCAAACACCAACATCTGTTAGATCAAACACCACCGTCTGTTAGATCAAACACCACCATTGTTAGATTAAACACCGTCTGTTAGATAAAACACCAACATCTGTTAGATTTAACAACATCATCTGTTAGATTTAACACTACCATCTGTTAGACTAAACGCTGTCATTGGTTAGACTAAACATCATCTGCTTAATGAGGAATAAAGGCGTCAACAGTTTTGAATGAGACACTTGTTATATACGTGTCTGGTTGACACATTACCAGCCATAAATATAAAACTTAAATTCAACAGCAAAACTCAAGATTTCTTATCTTTGTTAAAAGCTCCAGGCAATAATTATATTCATGACCTAAACAAATTCAATGTGATATTTCTTAAACCTCATTAACTGAAACTGGAATGACAGAAACTTCTTCTATCAAAATCCAGGAGATACAATAGCATACGACTACGATCCCCTGTATCACATGACTTACTTTTCTTTTTTTGTCGTTTGCTGTCGTTTGGTGTCACTAACAGCAACGTGTACAGAACTACGGCTCCTAACAGCTTCATGCTGATTGTTTTATGTGTTAGATCTGCCAGGCTTTATAGGGTGTATTATCTAACGAGTACTCT